CTCCCGATTGAAAACGCCAACCGCGCCCTCCGCCGCCGCCCGCTCCGCGCACTCCGCACCTCAGAATTTGACTTCAGCACTGCGCCTCCTCTGAGTGTCCGTATACGTTACTCTTTCCTCCTAGTTGTAGGACTTCCACTCAGGCAGGGTTCCTGTGGGTCTGGGTGATGTCCCTTCCGTCTTTTAGTTTCACTTTTGAAATGGTTGTTCGAGGCGGCAAACTCCGGCGTTAACCTATGCCGCCATCTTGGTTCTCTCCTTCCTACTTTTATCGGTTTTATTTTTTTTAATTTGTTGTTTTTGTTGTTAGTCCTCACCCAAGGACATTTTTCAGTTGATTTTTAGAAAGTGAAGTAGGAAGAGAGAGAAATACTGATGTGAGAGTGTCACATAAATTGGTTGCCTCCTGCACACACCCCAACCAGGGCCAGGGATGGAACCTGCAACCCAGGTACATACCCTTGACCTGGAATCAAACCCGAGACCCTTTGGTGCATGTGCCTATGCTCTGACCACTGAGAAACACTGGCCAGGGCTGGGTTTTCTTTTAATATCTTATGCTTTTAAGTTTAAATGTCATATTTTCTTTATCATTCAATTAAAATATATTATATTTTACACTAGAGGCCCAGTTCACAAAAATTTGTGCACTCGGGGGGGTCCCTCAGCACAGCCTGAGCCCTCTCGCAGCCTGGGAGCCCTCGGGGGATGTCCACCTGCCGGCTTATGCCTGCTCCCCAAGGGGTTGGGCCTAAGCTGGCAGTCAGACATCCCTCTGGCAGCCCGGGATCCCTCAGGGGATGTCCGACTGTTAGGCCTGCAGAGAGTGGACCTAAGCCACAGGTGGACATCCTTAGCACTGACTAGGAGGCAGGAGAGGCTCCCGCTACCACTGCTGTGCTCTCAGCCGTCAGCCTGGCTTGTGGCTGAGTGGAGCTCCCCTTGTGGGAGCGCACTGACCACCAGGGAGCAGCTCCTGTGTTGAGCATCTGCCCCCTGGTGGTCTGTGTGCGTCATAGCAACCGGTCATTCCCGGTTGTTCTGCCATTAGGGTCAATTTGCATATTACCTTTTTATTATATAGGACTGTGATTTCTTCTTTTACCGTGAGTTATTTGGAAGTGCACTGTTTAGTTTTCAAAGATTTGAAAATTTTCTAGGTTTTGTTTTATTATGATTTTCAGACTGTTCATGTGGTGGTCACAGAATATCACTAATTGTAATGCTTTGAAATTTGTTAAGATTTGATTTATGCCCCAACAGATGGTCAATTTGAGTAAATGTTTCATTTATCATCATTGATAGCAATGTTCAATATATGTGAATTAAGTCAAATTTGTTGTTCAGGTTGCTCAAATATTCTACATCTTTATGCACTTTTTCTACTGGTTCTTAGAGTTGGTGAGAGAAATGTGTTAAAATTTCCCATTGTGACTGTATATTTATCTCTCTTCATCCCATTTTATCCATTTTTGCTTTACATATTTAGGAGCTATGTTATTAGCGAATATAAATGTCGTATTAAAAAACTGGATGAAGAAAGGGGACTTTCTCCTTCCAGCATCGTCTTACTGCAGTTGAAATGCAATAGGAAAAGCTTTATTCCGGCTGGACTTGGTGTACACTTTAAGAAATAAATAACGTAGAATGAGAGAAAGAAAGAGAGAGAGAGAGGTATTTCAGAGAGGGGGAAAAAAAGGGAGAGAGAGAAACATCAATGATGAGAAAGAATCGTTGATTGGCTGCTTCCTGCATGCCCCTCACTGGGGACTGAGCCCACAACCTGGGCATATGCCCCGACCAGGAATTGAACTGTGACCTAGTTCATAGGTCAATGTTCAACCACTGAGCCATGCTGGGTGGGCTTACCATTATCTTTCATTCTGAAATCATGTAAAACCAACATTTACCATTTTTATGTATTTGTGTGTGGTGGGGAAAAGCTCTATATTTTGTTCCTTTATCCATAAAACTCTGTGTCATAGAGCGTGCGACGGTCAGTTACGTTGTAGAGATTAAAATCCGGAGAAAATGAGAGAGGGCAGATGGTAACCAGTGGATTTTCTAAAAATTACCTCTTGAATGCTACACTGTGGAGGCCCCTGCTCCAGCAAGAAACGGGAAGTGGAAGCAGAGGTGGAGGGGCCGCTTCCTGGCTTGGGTGGAACGTTTAAGGCTGTTTTTATTCCTGTCTTGTAGGTAGCATCCTTTTCAAGTACATGACCATGGAATCCGAGAAGATCTCAGAGAAGCAGGAGGAAGTTCTTTCCATCCTGGAAGAAAAGTTCCCTAGCTTACCTCCCAGAGAGGACATCATCACCGCGCTGCAGGAGAGCCACCCCGGGGCCCAAGGTGAGTGACATCCCGGCTCTGCTGCAGCTCCGAGCAGGGCTGGTGTCGGTATGAAGTGCTGCCAGGCCCCAGAAGGTGAATTTGACTGCGCCTGCGCTTTGCTCCTGTTGCTCACACTTGTGGACAACTTCCAGGCACCTGGTGTTGGCTCACCTGGAAGCCTGCAGCCTGCAAGCAGCCTGTCCTCTGAGACCTTCATGTCTGAGTGTGTGGCTAACTCACGTGCTCACCCCAGATGATGACATGAAATCTCCCTCCTGAGCAATATCAAGCACAGTGAGGTTTTGTAAATTGATTAATTTTAGAAAATAGAATAAAAGAGGAGACAGCTGAGTAGATAGAATTGTTCTCCAAGTCTAGGCTTTACCAGTACAGCGGATTCCCTGGATCAGTTGTTTTATTATAATAATAATAATAATAATAATAGCTACAATCCATTGAGTGCCTAAGATACACAAAGTTCCGATGGCATTAACTGCATGAATTCCTCACCGAGTCCCCAAGACAACCCTGTCAGGTGCTGTTATTATCCCCAATTTCTAGGGGAGAACACTGGAGCAAAGAGAGGCCTCGTTTGCTTTAGCATCATCACACACACAGCTGCCGGGTGGCGGGGCCAGGATTTATACCCAGACAACCTACCTTTGAGGTGCAAAGCTTTCTCCCTTAGTTTGGAATTGCCCAGGGGCAGGGCCTGAGGCAAAGCAGTTTATCAGAGATGTGACCCCAGAGAACACTGATAGGGGATGGAGCTAACTCCATGGGCAATCAGGCCTTCATCCAACTCGGGCGCCCTGGGAAACCAGTCAGAGAATGACATAACTTGCACCTCAGGGTTATCCCACCTGAGGAAGAGCGAGCGCAGGGGTGTGTTGGAATTTGTTCATGGGAGCTCCAGGAGCTGATGGTTAGTTTCAGGGATTTTGTGAGTCGGTCGGTCTTAGTTTGGCAGCATGACAGCATTCGCTCTGTAGACGTATTGACACCAGAGAAATGGACAGATATTACATGTACTACAAAATGGCTTTTGTTGCTGATTGTTTGACATTTACCAATATCCCTGGGATATTGATGGCCACTCCGTCCCTGGGGCTGTCAGTTCCCCCAGAGCAGCCCCTGGTGGCCAGAGAAAGCCCCCAGGAAAGGAGAGGCAGGTGCTGCTGGTTGAGCGTCATGCTGGGCTCACTGCTGTGGCAATTGTGGGTGGGGCCCTGTGCGTGCCACACTCTCTGTTACCGACGCACCTGTGTGGCGATGCGGTATGCATAGCTGCACGCCGGTGTGCATTTTGTCATTCATCTCTAAAACGAGGCCGAACTTTCAATGTCACATCATAGTCTATAAATCATTTCATACCGCAGTATGATAGAGTGCAGCCTCTCAATCTTCGAGTCACAGAAACATATTTAGTACGTGTTTCCCAGACTGCTGTGAGTGACTGCGTTCTAAACGGGGAGGAAGGCAAGTGATCAACTCTGGTGTTTTCGTGCATCTGGGAAGGATGTATGTGCTGTGCTGGGCCTTCTGATGGGTCTTCTTCCCAAGAGGATAGGTCTAGTCAGATATACTAAGCGAGGGCGAGGTTATTAAATGTCAAGCCAGACCCTTTCCTGTGTTTTGGCCATAGGCTTCATTGAAACACATTGGTCAGCCAACCACAGCTACGCAGTCCGGATCATTTCACCATTCCAGATGATTCCTCCCATCTTTTAAGTAATTCGGTATCTCCTATGTCAGAGCCTATTACAAGGTGGACCAACTTAATTATGACAGTTTTATGGGTCACTTTTATAAAGTGCATTTTTAATAAAATTATACTAGAAAACGTGGGGCTCACTCAAATGCATCCAGAAGGCAAAGTATGGCCTTGTTAGGTACTATTTGGCCAGATTGCCGAGTAATGGGTATGATAGTTTTTGTTTGCCCACCTCCCTCCATTGCATCCGAAGGCCTTGTTTGCTCTGGGCTCCCTGAAGATTATTGCCTTCTGATTGGGTTTGGTTAATGGGAGGAATTAGTAACAGGTGAGGCATGAGGTACTCCGGAAGAAGAGAGAGGCTATCTTATTCCTTCTTGGCTCCCTGCCTGGTTTGGCGCAGTCTCTGGCAGCCGCTCTTCTGCAGGTCCAGACCTCTGCTTCCTCCCCGCGTCCCTTTGCCAGCCTCTGGGCGCTCACCATGGTTTATTCTCACTCTCAGTCCTGCCCACAGCTCTGTGAGTGTCCTGCCACTAAAGAATCTTCTTTTGGCTTATGGGGGGGTGAATTCTTTTACCTGCTGGGATCATCCTAAATGATGCAAATATTGTCACTGATGTGATTTTGCCTTAATGTGTGTGTGTGTGTGTGTGTGTGTGTGTGTGTGTGTGTGTGTGTGTTTATGATGGATAAAAGCATTATTAGTGGGGAAATATTGAAATTAACAGGATAAATAATTTATCCTTGAAATTACTAGAAAAAAAAGTTCCCCAAATATAACATACTGTTTTCCCTTCTCAACCACAGGTTTAAGTATTGAACAGACAATGTTGAAGGACCTAAAAGAACTGACAGATGGAGAAATAAAAGTGGCCATCAGTACCGTGAACGTGTCCCTGGAGGTAAGGGAGGGAATGCTTTTTGGCAATGATAGGATTTCCACGATGGCGTCTGAGCACCTGGGGTGAAGCGCTCTCCACCACATAAGTCAGTGTTCGGCTTTTGGTGTGAATTCTTCTTTGCAATAGGTTTGATTAGAAATGCAGGTTATTATTTGGGGTGAAAACACTATACTAAGTCGATGAGTGCTGTTGATTCATCTCAGTAAAACAGTACCTCGCATATGCATGTGTATGTGTGAGTATAACCTGTTTGATAGCAATAATTATACACTTGTTTGGATTCACTTCTGGTTTGCTTTTTGTTCTGTGTGCCGCCCTGAATTGTTCATAGAACTTTTCTAAGAAAATAAGCTGTCCTTTGGCCTTTGTAAGCTGACTGGATACCTATCATTTTGGTAACCAATGGTGACATCTCAAGTATTCCTTCCAATCCCTTCAATGAATGACTCAGAGTGAATGCAACTCTAGTCTTTGTGTGCTTCCTTGGTAAATTATCCTATGTCTACTTTGGGGATTTTCAATGACTTGTGTGTTAATCTTAATTAACCTCACTAATGGGAATTATATTTTACAGAGGCACACTTGTGCTGTGCAGAACTTTGTGTATTTCTTTATATTGTTACTAGAAGCCTGATACATGAAATTCATGCAAGAGTAGGCCTTCCTTCCCCCGGCTGCTGGCACTGGCTTCCCTCTGGCACCTGGGACCCGGCTTCATCTGGAAGGTTGTCCTGTCTAATTAGCATATTACCCTTTTCTTATTATAAATATTGCCTTGGTTAAACTACCCACCTCTGTCTGAGGCACTGAGTTCTCAAGTCATATTGATGGAGATAAAACTTGCAGCATAGAAATTTGTCTTTGGTTTTAATTGTATGTTGCTATACTTTTATTTATTTTTTCTCATGGTAACAGTGACTGTATCAATATGTATATTTCTAGGGAATAGCAGGCATGCATATGGGTGTCCACACCTCAGAAAACCCAAGAGCAAACCAGGTGTTGTTGGTTTTTTTTCCTGTGATTTCTTTAATGTATTCCCTGTTGATTGATATTGTAATTCAGTTCTTGGATCCACATGAGTACCAGGAGGCAACTACTGTCACTTAAGGTAATCAGACATGGTGGTTATATAGTGTCTCATAGTTTATAGAACACGTTCTCGTTGTATGTAGAAACTCAGCAGTTTTTATGGACTTTCAAACTGATCAGTGCTTCATATAATTAGATGTTGATGTAACTCACAACAAGAAATACATGCAATTTGGGATGTAGTGACTAGATAATCACCTTCCATTAGAAATCTGTTTTGTGTCTAAAAGGCCAAGGAAACATGGATCTTGCAAGGGTCAGTAGCTCTGAAAATCATTTCTCCTAGTTCAAGCCTTAGGGTTTTCTTTCTCTTTCCTCCCTCCCTGTCTCCCTTCATTTAATAGCATCTTATTAGGTTTTAAATGCCTTGTTTGGAATTTCATTCCAAATTAACATAGAACATCGTGTAATTGCTTAGGAAACTGTCTGTAGTTAGCAAAGTACTTGAAGGCTATTAGCATTGTAGACTTACCATAGCTTTAATGTACCTTCATTTATATTACAGGAGTATACAAATGGCTTTGTCAGACATGCTAAACTGTAAATGTTTATCAAGCTGAAAAAGTGATAAAATGATCATCTTAATCTTGACAGTAATTTACACAGAGGCTCAGTAATTAATCAGGGGGTTAAGTACATCGTGGAAGTGCTGTATGATTTTCTGGGAAGATATAAAGAGGGTACACAGATTAAACTCTAATCAGCTGAATGGGAACTTTTCACTTGTGCAGAATGGGGATGTTAAAGATGACTGAGAAACAGCAAAGGAACTTGGTGACATTCTATATCTTCTCTGAAAGATGAAGTGCACATTGTTTTTTAAATCTGTCAGTTAGAAAAATCCCCAAGTTTAGGGCAGGGTTTAGCTTTCCCAGCAGCTTATCCTGAGATGCAGTGGCATTTCCCCAGTTCCTCTTACTTGACTACATTTCAGCATTCCTTTCCCATTCCTGGGTCCTCACTTTTTAAAATAGTGAAAGGATCAACACTATTTTATTTTGTGTGTTTTGGAACAGCTGTCTAGTTGCCCTTTAACTCTAGATATATTCTCAAAGAAATAGTCTTAATTCCTATGACTTTATAAGTCTCACTTGTTCTACAAAGTATGGTCAAGACCATGTTACTTCATGATGATGCTTATAAGTTCTTTTTTTTTTTAATAACCACCCTCTGAATTCTTGCAAAATTTAGTCTAAGTGGCCAACTTGGGTCTTATACTGTACTATCTCTTTTGTTAATTTGAACTTGTTTCATATATTTAATTATAGTTAGACAGTATTTTAAGTGAATTAAGGTTTGTGATCTTTGAGTTGATCTCCCTTTAATTTCCTGGCCCAGTGCTGGACAGATAGTAGGTATTTAGTACATATTGTCTGAAATTTGTTCCTTTGATATCTGATTTTTATTTCCTTTTGAATTTAAATAGCTAGAAAAGCAAAGCCACCTAGCTGTGCATCTAAGTCAATCCTCTTTGTGGCTTTCCCGATTCATTTTTTCTAGATAATTATGGCTGAAGGCTGACATACAACAAGTGAAGGATGGCCCACATATTTGTAGGTAGTACTGCTCATCCAGCTGTCCCAAAATGCAGATAGTTAGCTCTTGTCACGGGAAGCAGTCAACTGGAGGTCCCGGGCATGTCAGGGAAATGAGAAAGAAGATTCCTTACATTGTCAGCGGTCCTTTGCAATGCTGCAATTCCACAGTTGTACATGTCATGGTCTTTATTTTCCTGGTGACCCAGTTAATTTTCTTGGGTAGAAATATTGAGAAAATTAGAAGGATTTGTGTCCTTGCAACATACACAGCATGTTCTTCAGATCGAAGCATTCGTTTGGGAGGTAGAAATCACTGCCTTTGACAGATGGTTGACTGTGGCCCTCTACGTTCGTTATAGGGAGAAAGCTACTCAACCCTTTGTCTCTTATTTTTATTGTAGCATAGATCACAAATGATAGTTGTAATCTAATCAAGGTTATAGAAGTTAGAAGTTACTGAAAGACCAATCATGGAAAGGAAGTAATTATAATAATACTGAGTTTCGATGCTTTGCTCAATATATGAAGTCAGAACGAATGTGACTTTGAGGAGCAATGAATAAAAAAATGGCCTTATCAGAAACATGGCCGGGGATTAGCCTTTCTTACAGATAGGACTTAGAAGCTAGGACCACGGAAAAGACGCTATAGTCTCATTTCACATGGCCTCCGCCGGGGCATTCTGAGCCTGACTACAGCACACACCACACATTGGCCTCCACTTCAGTGATTATCATTGTACCCGATCCTTTGTGCCCTTCTCATTGCTTGCTAGTTTGTTTAATCAAAAGAGAAACACAGGCGGGTTTGATACTGTTTCAATCCTTCATTTTAGTGGTGGAACCATTATAGAAAAATAAAAGTTGCCAAAAACAAAATCCATTTTAAAAACTAAGAAGTATAAACATTAAGAATAATGAAGCCTTAATCAGAAAAGAAGAAAGACGAGAATTTATGGACATTAAAGCACCCACTTTGCCTTTATTGTTTTGCCAGCAGGTTGAAGTGGTGGTTGCACATCCTAGTTTACTCCCTAGAAAAACAATATATTAAGATCTAAGGGGAAGAGAAAAATCTTTCCATTTGAATGAGGACCCACTGAAGATACTAAGGATGTGCCTGATAGTACTGCATGAATGGTTCCCTTGCGAACCCCAAATAATATTACGCCTCCTCTAAGCCTCTCCTGAAGGGCTTTTAGTCATTAGCATCATTCCTCAGAAAAAACAATGACCAGGCAATGACTTGATCCCTTTTTATTTTGCTCAATCGCATTATGATGTATTCCTGCATACATACTGTGCCCGTCTTCTCAGGCTGCCAAAACAGAGCACCACAGGCTGGGTGACGTACACAGAAACGTACTGGCTCATAGTTCGGGAGGCTAGAAATTAAAGATCTGCTGTTGGCAGGATTGGTTCCTTCTGAAGGAACCAATCCAAGAGAGGGAATCCGTTCCTGCCCCTCGCCTGCCTCCTGGTTGTTTGCCGGCGATCTTTCATGGTCCTTGGCTGGTAAAATCATCATACACATCTTCTGCTTTCATCCTCACATCATCCCTAGGCATGTCTCTGTGCCCAAATTGCCCCTTTTTACACGAACACCAGTCATTTTGGGTTAGGGCCCTAATGACCTCATCTTAACTGTTATGTCTGCAAATTGCCCCCATTTCCAAATAAGGTCACATTTTGGAGGTGCTGGAGGTTAGGACCTCAATATCTTGAATATATAAATTCAACCCATAACATACACTATTGATAAAAGTAGTCATTTTCCAGACAGCTGAAAAGAAGTAAACTACCTGAATGAACCTGTTGCCTGCTAAGCACATCTTATCTATTGCTACCATGTCGTTTTATTTCAAACCAATTTCTTTAAATAGGGATTTTCAACTCTTGAAATGTTGTCTCCTTTATTCCGCCTGTTTTCTCTCTGCGGCTCTGCTGCACTCTCAGCCCAGGGCCTCCTCATGACCAGACACTGTCATTTGAAACCGGGAACAGAGCACATGAGCTGCATTCTGGTAGAGTGACTCAGACTGCTAGCGCGTTCTGCCCTGCAGGGGTTACCAGCCAAGCTGCACCCTGGAACACTGCAGAGGGGAAAATACCAGCATTTCCTCTTACCCTTCAGAGGCAGGCCGGAATGAATTCCTGAGATCTCTGTTACACTCCTCCCTGACAAAAGGGAACATTGACTCAGGCCACAGTGAAGCATCACTGGACTATTATAACTGGTGATTTTAAGAGTGAGCAATCCAGGGTACTAATTTTAAGCACTAAATGTGATTTCTCTTTGTTTGAGCTCTGATTTTTTAAGAGTTCGGGATGAAAGTACCTCTGAGTATTTACCTATATTATTCTGTCACAG